ACGGCAAAGTCAGGGAAAGCGGCAAGAATCAAGTTTCAAACACAGGACAGTAGACTCAGGGCATTTTTATGACAACAGAACAAGCTTAGAGTAGAAGAGCGACGGATGAGGCAGATTGCATTGCGCAGCTCAGTATGTCATGTTGAACAAATTCATGCCTGAATGAATACAACAAGTATCTATGGAACGCATCTACCAACCGCGCATGTTTGAGGCGTCAGGACTGGTCACTGAAACATTGAGAGGCCACGGGTTATCTGACGCGAGGGCCTGCTGAGAGGACGATTCACACGGGATGTGAAACCTGCGAGAATGCGATTAGTCAATGTTTTGTATTGGGGCAATTTTGAAGAGAGACTCGCCTGAAATCTATTGATTGTTATTTAAGTAATTAGCGCGTGTCTCTTCAGATGGCAAAAGAGGTGGGATGGATATTTGCTTATTGTTAACGAATAGATGAATGCCTGGGTCGTTTCTACGGGAGGTGAAAAGAGTAGAAGACTGACCAATGATAAAGAACTGTCTGTGGGCACGAAAGAGACTCTGGGCCTCCGGCGACCTTTGAACGGTCTTTGCGGGGGATTAATGAATTCATCTGGGGAACTGCGGATGTTATTGGATTGTCCTACTTGACATTAAACATTTACTGCATCAGATGTTACTCTCGATGGCGATGTCTTCAGACGCTTGATAGATCAGCTCGAGGCTCTTGATGTGTTCAATTTGTATGTACTAAAATACATCCCGTGCTAATCCAAGCTTCTGTCATAATGGATTTGTGAACTAGCGAAACAAAGGCTTTTGATTACGAACACAGATGGATGCGGATCACCGGTTTGAGACCAACCTAAATGACCTTCCTCATGGACATTGCTATAATATAAGCAGTCAGTTTCTGGAAGGATTGCTTGTCTATTATGGACGTGCTGATTCACGGCACGTTCTCTGGGGCTGGCATGGAAACCCCGTCCCAACGGATTTAGAACTTTGGAACTCGTGAAACCAGTAGATATACTGCACATAAAGGCGTAGATGTCATGTGTTACACCATATGCGGCGCCAACGAGGACTTACTATATCGCTGTGGTTCCCTAGTCTCTGAGCAACGAGACAGAGACGATCGAGAGGAGGTTGGGTGGCGTGTCGTTAGGCCACAGAGCATTTTGACCCCACTGTGCTCCACCAAAGGTTTTCAATTGTGCAATTGCAAAAACAGACATTTTTGTTAATGGTTTGGGTTCTTGGAATCATAGAGAGGCGAGGTTGGACACGCTATGTCAGACCAAAGGTCAAGCTGTAGCGCCCTGAACTCAAAGGAAAGACTAGGACGCATAGTCAAAGAAATTGTCAAAGACGTTTAAGTGTATCTGAGGTCTTCACGGCGATGGTCGAGGCCGAAGGTGGCTCTTCTGATGTATGAGATGGAGCGGATCTCTCTAAACATTGCCACCATCTGCTTCAACAGTTTTTATTGTGACGCATGCAGAAGATCCTTGTGGTTAGCTGATGATAAGCTCGGGAAAGGAGCTGGTAGAGACAATATGGAATGAAATGATCGGGTTCTTACTGATAATAATATCCATTTTAGCCAAGAGTAACTCTAATCCTCAAAGGCAGCGAACCTGATACTGATAGTAAGACTGAACTGATAATAATGTGGTAAATCATAGTATTCTTGGTGTAATATGTTGATTCGAGGCGTTGAAAAGTTGAAGTGCTGGGCATATTATGTCAACGAGTGAATACTAGACTTTGCATTTGAACAGGAAGCTCACGTACAAGGGAATTGGTGACACTGCGACGTATGGTAAGAGGAGAGGACAGAATTGAGGATAACGCCTACTTTGATGTTTGTAGGTCGGAGTATTTCGCCACGGGTGTTTGTGTTCTTCCGACGTCGGAGAGGGCAGCGAATGTTGTGAAAACAGCTCTAGGACTTCCATGACCATTTCAAACCCACGTCGAGGTTTCCAGCTTCAGAGGGAGGATTCATAGGCTCCTTCGTACTTCATTCTTAGAAGATATGTCACCACCCCTGCAGAAAACTGTGAGAGTCACAGGTTGTGATATGGCCCAGTGGATGTGATAAACAATCTGCTCTCCGCAGAAGAACTGAGGAATCCCTATTGCTTGGCGCGGCTACGTCACGATCGAGGAAACAACCGAATAACTTCTGCACAAACAGAGGCCGCGTCTCAGACCTTTGGCAGCGAGGGAAATCTTCGGATTATCCTGCTCTACGCGTGTTCAGAGACATCATAAGGGGGGGACCCAATCGATGAGGCCATAACTGTAGCCGGTGAAAGCGGGAGAGGTCACTTGGGCATGTACATATGGAGCCAGAGCTGGGAGTTGATCCGCATTGTAGTCAAGGCGACAGCGGTTACGTTCGCGATAAAAGTGCATAGAGGTTCTAGACGAGTGGTGGGACGCATTGTAGCAGCCGTATATACTGCTCGTGCCGCAACGGATCGGTAATGGTAGGTTGTTTCCGTAGGGTGACACCGTAGCTAACGCAAGGCGCTCGCTGCAGCCAGGCGGAAGTCCTCCAAACAGATAGTTAAACCTTAGCAAAAGGAACATATCTCGGTTTCGAGCGAGGCAGGTCGGGAAACGATCGAGGATTGATGGTGTTGGTTGCATGCAGTCAATGTATTTTTCGATAGGGAGTGTTCGTTCGGGGAGCTCTTTGAGGGAAAGGAAGTTCGCCTAGGGTTTTTCTTTTTTTGAAAAAGGTTGCGAAGATTGGTATAGAGAAATACCGGCTGTGATGATGGTGTCAGTTAGCCTGATGATTGACGGTTGATGGGATGCTTCGACGTGGATGCTGTTGATGCCCGCGTGGGGCAGTGTTCTAGGGGTAGCAGACACGAGAAGCATCCAGGTAATGAAACCAGTTGAGAATGATGCAAGTCATATGGAAGTGCTGTACAAATCTTTTGCCGGGACGGCAGTGCCCTCAGGACCCGGTGGTAGCAGCTGATGTCCCTGTGCAGCAGCGGCCAGAGTCATTGGTGGTGAGCCAGGTGCTGTGCAGATGCATTTTTAACTCGAGTGGTACAAAAATGAGCGGATGTGCGGCCAGCACACTGAATGGCTGCCAAGTTAGACGGCTGGACCTGTCTGGGTTTCTGGTGAGGAGCATGATGCATGATATCCATTGCCCGTTGCATAGCTGAGTCATTGTGACCCAGCCCCAAGTTCTCGCCATTCTCACAGCCTAGGTAACTCAATAAATGCCTTTCGACTGTATCCATGGACCAATTAAATCGTGATACTTTGGAACTTCAAACTATTGTTCTGGCAAATTTCGGCGTTGCTGCGTAGAGCGAGTTGGGAAAGATGCAGGCGTGGAGACGTCGATAGAATGGGGGCCTCGACGAAGTCGTGATAACCGTAAGTGCTCTGTGCTGCCAAGTCTGAAGAGACTGGTGGATTTGGCGTTGCGATGCGGTGGCCAGAATAGCTGTTCTCTTTGTTTCTGGTATCATCTACTTATCGGTTTCGACGATGTGCGTAGGGTGTAGATGGCCTTTGATACCAACTTCAATCCGACATTTAGCGATGTCCATGGTGTTTTCCGTGGTTTTAACGACGATGCCAGCGCAAAGCTTGATGGGAAAATGCAAAAGTTGGGATCTGAATGTGCTTGCGACGGCCGATGCTGCTGTGTAGGTCGCTGCACAACTCGGAGCGTTCGGAGAAGTAGCGTGATGGATGAAATTGCGACAGAAAGGTATGCTGGGGCACACAAGAATCAGCTTCCAGTAAGGTTTTCGGTCGGGAGTACGCAGTTAGACAACTTAATAAGTAGAGCCCAGCATCACCAGTGGAAGAAGCGGTCAGCAGGGTTGGAAGCCTTGCACCGTGTCAAGAAATAACTTCCGCCTGCAACATGTCAAAGGGGAGGAGAGCTCGGAAGAATCAAGGGCGATAATATTCGTAAAGGTTTAGGATCGCCGACAACTTGGCTGGCGTTGGTGTTGTTGCTGATGCTTCTGTTTGTGCTGCCGCTGGTGATGTGAAATGCGACTCCGGATGGCTGTGGTTGGGGCGAGATGGGTTTGCGTCGGAAAGAAAGGTAACGTCGATCGCACCAGGTAGTCTGTCTCGTGTGCAACTGCAGACTCAAGTTCCCTTCCCAATGTGGAAAGACTATTGGTTGGGACGGGTCAGAGGTCAGAGGTCAGAGTTTAGACGACTAATTTTCTGACCAGAAGGTGTAACTCTGATCCTTCCCCTAAACGAAAGTGGATAGGACAAAGTACATATGTACCCTTGCTTAGTGGTCGGCAAGGCGACTGGGATAAGTCCAGATTTACTGGAAATTCTTAGACGAAGACACTCCATGTGGTCTTTCCCATTGTGTTGCGCCGTAGAATGATGCTGCTGATACAGAAAGAATCGTTGGCACACCTGCCTGACAGTAAAGCTAGGTGCCCACTTGAGTTCAGGTGCAGCCAATTGGGCTGAATTTGGCTAATTCTCGGCAGGGATTATGTCACCAAGCTTTTCTGATTGGATCAAAAAGGGTGCTGTGCCACGGAGTGACCTCTGTGCTTGAGAACCATCTTGCGCTACTGTCGTACTTTGCTGCGTCGCAACATGAGTTGGCCCTGCTTACTGACTACTCGACTCTTCCTGCCTCCTCACACCAAAGGTCAAACCCGGCCCAACTTTCTGACCTTAGATGATGCACATTTTTGACCCTTACCTTCAGCACCCATATCGCTCATTTGAATTATGAGGTGCGCTTGGGCACGGACCGGAGCGCCATATGGAGCCTCTGGTCCGATGCTTATCTCCACCGCTCTGCAGCCAGTCGATATCTTCCTTATTTGCTAATTATTTGATTGTTTGACTTCAACTTTGTACATTGTCTCTGGTATTGAACCGCCTTGAGCGGTTCATCACCGTTCTCTTCGATATGTTCGCCTTTGCACCTCACACATATCGATGCACTCATTGTAGCTGTCAAGTCGCTACAACTTTTCATCTTAATGACCAGATGTAACGTCTTTAGCGAGACCACGTTTCGTGTCCACGTCAACGAGGCTCTCCAGGTCGGTTTCGGGATGCAGGAACTTTTCACCTCTGGGGGTAGGCGAGCCACCCTAATATCGACACCACGCGTTTCCGTCACTAATTTATCCCTTCACAGTCACACCCCCATTGAAGGCGCTCCTCCAGAGCCTCGATGTCACCATTTTTCCCCACGACGTCACCAGCACTGGCAAGACGCCCACCATTTGAGGCGGCTTCAACATCGTCAGCGACGCAAAGTTTGACTCTCTCTTCAATAAGCCCCTCTCCTCCCCAAGTGCTAGTGTGGAGAAGGGCATCTTCGAGCACCTACCAAATGGCAATGCGTCCACTCTTCATCTGTCAGGCATGCGAACATGTCTGATTCCCATTCTAGGCCCAATCCTCCATTTCAATGTTGCCACCCAGGCCTCAGGCACGGCCATGGATAACAAAATCCTTCAAGAGGTTATTAGCCGTCCAACTTACATCACGTCTTGCTCTTTATTACGTTCCCAACCCGGCTTGGGCTGGTCGATGGGATATTTCTCTTCCGATGGAACCCGGCTTGCCAAGAAGAGCCCCAAGAAACAGGAGAAGAAGATCGAGAAGAAGGACGTCGAGAGATTGAAAGACGAAAAGAAGCTTGCTGCCCCCAAGGAGGCTTCCATTCAGAAGAAAGAGACCAAGAACCTTGCGGCTAAGAAGACGATACATCTCATGCGGCCCGTTATGTAGATGCGCCCTCTGAAATGTCAACAGGAGAAGCCCGCCGCTCCGTCCATGGCTAAGATTGATCCGGTCACGAACCTGGTCTATGGCTGCAATGGTTTCTCAAAGGCATATGTTCCGTCCTGGGGCTTCTGGACCGTCCGTGCTATTTGGGTGCTACGACTTGTACATCATCGGACCAGTGCAATAATAAAACGGGGACTAATGGTGTTGGATTTGCCTTCATGCATGCTGTGATGATTCCCACTGTTACCTTATTCAATTAAACTTCACTACAGCACTGCGGGTCATCAGCTCCTGCTAAAAGCTTCGACGCACAATGACAACATGTTCCTATCTGTTACAGCCAAGAAACTTGTAGACAGCCGCTATAATTCTCCACTAGCTGATGTCCATTTCTGCAACCTGTCTTGTGTCCCCAAGTTCTTTGCCTTCATCTTCTAACGTAGACAATCTCAGTCCCTACCACCCAGGTTTGAGCGAGCCTACTGCCTTGTCTCGCCGTCGGCAGCTTTTAATTAGCTATTGTCGCCGACAAACTGTGGACAGAAAAGGTTCGTGTGCCAAGCGTAAATGGGCTTTCATTGCAAGATCACCACAATAGTGCAAGAGAGGGTTCTGAGCATATGAGCCCCATTTAGAACCATTAAGCGATCTATAGGGACTTTTTTGTCTCAATCTGATAATGAGATGGCGATTGTTGAAAGGATGGGTTGGGGAAGGTATGCTGAAGCCAATAAGTCTTTGTGCGGAGCCTGACACTTCGTGTGCAGGAGTCTCCCAAGTCTTCAATCAACAGCCTAAAAGTATCGGAAACCGTAGAGGACGCCATCCGCGCGCAGTGTTCAGAGTCTGCCATTACCAAGCCAGGTGTCTTAATTTCCATCTCGTGGCTCAATTTACATCTTTGAAGAACGTCCACTCTCATCTTATCTTGTAGGCCACTCTCTACTAAAGTGATTACCATATTTATATATATGCATGCTTATCCATCCGATACACCCATCCATCCGCCACAACCCTACCCACTACATCCATCCGACACACTTATCTATCCGCCATGCTTATCCGTCCGACATACTAATCCATCCGACATTCTCATCCGTCCGACATGTTCATCCGTCCGACATGCTCATCCGTCCGACATGCTCATCCGTCCGACATACTCATTCATCCGCTATACTCATCCATCCGCCACAACCCTACCCACCACATCCATCCGACACACTAATCTATCCGACATACTCATCCATCCGCCCACCCGGGTGACAGGAAAAACGACCGTCTTCCCTATGGCCAGCACCAAAACTGTGCTAATTTGTTTGATACCCGGGTGCCGCCATACCCACCCGCCACATATCCACCCGCCACATCCATCCACCTGCATTCACATGTTTGGCGAACTCTCGCGTGTAAATGTCCAGGCTTGGACAACAGTTGACCCCTTTGCCAGCAGTTTTCTATCTCGCGACATGATCTAGAGGGAGCTGTCTTCGTTTTCACCTGCTATCCGCCTAACGATCCCTCCACCTCCTTCTGCCTTCCTTACCATTCTCCACCCTGCTGTTACTCGTCACCTCAACCAACCGACTTCATCAACATACTAGTAAATGCGTTGAACCTCGCCCTTGTGGACAACCTCCGGCCGCGCCTCACATATCAGTCAACTTACGAATTTTATGTCCTTTCTATGCCTTCGTCAGCAGCACAAACTCTCCTCCACACTTCCGCATCAGCAATTAACCTTGAAGACGTCATTTGTCGGTTGTCGCAGCTCGCTACCAACGGGGCAAACTCGCTCGAGAACCTCCTGTCATCCTTCAACACCGTCTCTAGCGTCCACGGTCGAGAAGCTGTTCTCCAACGTCTTCCTGTCGAAGTCACAGCAATTGTTTCCCCCGCTGGAGAGATCTCTCGCTTGCTTCCGGGGAAGTCTCTGACGAAGCGCGCACTCGCCAAAGTCAAAAAAGCTACTGCCCGTTGGGCATTCAACCGGGCCACATTATCGGTTTCTTCGAGAACGTCTCTCAGCCTTTCATCACCCTACTCGACCGACTGTCTAAGATCGCCCCCTGCGACCCAGCGGTGAGCTCTTTGAACCATGCCAGAGCACCCCGAGCCCAGACCCGCACCCGAGGCATCTCCGACGATATTAAGTGGCTGCCATGCGACTTGGAGACTGCGATCAAGTCTTGTATAATCTCGGGAGGGAAACCCGAGGAAGCGGCGGCCAAAAAGGACTGCCACTGCAATCGTGAGGACGGCTACGCGTCATCCAAGCGTGGTAAGTTAACCAGCCTTCTTCTCGCCTTTTCCATTTTCTGTCGTCTTAATACACACAGATTACAGTTTTCGGAATAGTCAAACAATCCTACTCCCGCGACAAACTCGATCTCTACACAAGCTACACCTGCCACCGAGGGTGTTCAATTTGACGATTCCGACCCTGAAGACTCACATCTTGACAACATTTACTCCGACCAAGGCCACAACAACCAACCTATCACGGACGGAAACGAAGACTCTGGCTACATGTTAAGCCCCTCGACGGAAGGGACACCTAAGTCTTTGTCTTAGGACACGAACATGGACACTCCCTCGAAAAACACAGAAAAGCGATATGCTGTAGAATCACCCACTAGATCTTCCAAACAGCCAAAGGCCGTACCATCCGAAAGCCAAGATCCACAGGGTTCAGAGGTATCCCTTCCTGCGCCCATCACTGCTGTCCCATCCATCGCTGTTATTCCTGTCGACGCTACTCCTTCCGATGCTGCCCATACATCTAGTACTCTTCCGACGTGCGCTGCGTCTCGCCCGGTCACAGGTACTGATGCCTCTCCTACTTCTGGTGCTAGTGAGCTTGCATTGCTTGAAGGCCTATTGGATCTGAGATGGGGCGGGAGCAAGATTATTCACGATTCTCCGCGATCAATCATCTCAATGCAACAACCAGACGTATTTTATTGCTACTGGTCCCTTCATTATTGGGACCGCGCAAAATGATTCGACTTGGAACTCCCCGCCCACAATAAACACAGAACACAGAACTATGGAACAACCCTGTTCAGTTCGATGCAAAAACTCGCATTGGATCCTTGTTCAGGTGCATGTCCATCATCAAGCGGCCTCAATCTACGAACCCCGTGAAGATTCCCAGGAGGTACAATCTGCGGTTAACAACTGGTCAATCCCTGCGACGACGGTATCGCGGTGATCTCGAACGCTTTCTCCACCATGGCAGAATCAGCTCTCCAAGCCACTCTGAACTCGCGTGCTTCTGGGCTCTTTGAACGACAAATACGTCGCGAACCAGTTTGACCGACAAATGAATGATTTGACGTTGCGGAGCACGATGGAGGTGGAGGACATGCAATGCTTCACATCGAGAGCACGGTAATAATATTATTCATTTGCAGGCATGTTAAGTATTTATGCAGCTGTTGCTTTGTCTATTACTATCGACAGACTTGGACGTATAAGTATTTGAGTTGAACCATTTCATCCCCATGCATCATGACAGCATTAACAGTAACTAGCCGACAGACTGTGCACGCGTTCAGTTCTTCTCCCGTAGGAACAAAAAGGAACTGATCACAGGGGCTGAGTTAGTACTATTCAATCAAGGTGTTTCCGGGAACATCTGGAGTTCTGTGTGACCTTTAGCTATGTCCTGTTTTATCAAATTTCTCACTTGTGGACTACTGTCCTAGGGAAGCTGAAATGCCGTCGTGGAAAGCCGTTGTGAGACTGGGCCTGGAAGAGAGATTATGTCGTGGAAAGAATAAGAGAGACAGGGAGGAGAACTGGACGAGGCATGAATAACGAACGGGTAGAATTTAAGGTAGATCACCTTGCGAGGACGCTGAGACTTCATCAGACGTCAGACGGTAAACAATAAATGGTCCACTGAAATAGTGCTTTAACTGTCTCTTCTTCTCCTATTACTTTCAAGTCCGAGAAGCACAAACTCTCTAGCTTTTACATGATAAGTCGCTTCCGCTCCCCTTCCTTCGCGGTATTGCCCCTAGTCCCCTGGCCAAACTTCCTTGCCAGCCCGTCGGCACCGGTTTTGTACATTTGAGGACTAATTTTATACAGAGACAATGCTCTCACTTCATCGTTCTCAATGTCGCGGAAAAAAGAGCCATAGTCTCAACAATTCAACTCACATCTCTCCGTGGATTCAACATGATCATTCCTCAACCCGGTCTCTGTAAGAAACAGCTCGTAAGACTGGATACAACCGTTTAAAACAGCTGTATTTTGCTATGCGAACAGCCCTTCTATTTCGTAGTCCGTTTTTAGTGCAGCGAATAATGCAAATTAACTCGGTGGAACTTGACCAGTAGATGAGACGCCCAATTGACAGTACTTTTACGGGACTTTGAGCGATCCAGAGAGATTCCAGAGCTTGTTTCACGACTGTTGGCTGGGTACTGGTGTACGTTGACCTCTCATGAGGTGAGAGTGGCAAAACATCATTTGAGATCTCGCTGTGTCATGCTCGGCCAATAACGACCCTGTTACGCAAGAAGGCTTCTGCGAGAGTTGAAGGTGTTGCATATATATAATGCAATTACGAAAAGATTCCAAGGTGCTGCTGACGGATGTTATTACCAGATGAAAGATTGGATCCGCATGAATGTTCATCTCTTTTTGAAGAACCCTCTCAGTCCGCTGACAAACGGAAAGAAACAGTCAGGTGTGTAGTCTAAAATCCGCATCAGGCAGTGTCGGCATGGCTTTTGTGTTGTGCTACATTGGCAAATGATCGCGCTCTCACTTAACTAGAGAATTCACACCCCCAAATAAAAATATTCACTCGGTATATTCAGAGAAACGTACGGAGCGCCGAGATATATTAGTTCTTGGACTTTTGCCGCCTACTAAGAACAGTATCACATTAGTCTTGAAACCACTCATGAGAAAAACAGCCCATCCTCGCATAAACAAACCACAATACAAATAGACAATTTATGCAAGCTGAACAAAGAATCTGTCCT